TTTTTTTTTTTTTGTTGTTGCAAATATAGCTTCATCACCATTAAGAGTTAATACTGAGGTGATTGTTTATACATTCAACTAAAAAATAACCAATCAAAATACAAATCTAATTCAATCCTACTATATTCAATATTATCAATATATTTATATAATCAACCAATCATTTTTACACATGGTATCAACTTTAATTCACTATTCATTCATTTACATAATTTTAACTAACAATCACTTTCAATCATTTTTTTGCTATTTTACATCAAATCAACATTAATTATTTTATTTAAATATTATTTTAATATACTCACTAACATCTAATCTTACCATTTTTTTTCAAAATTAACTTTAAAAAAATAAACTAAATAAAAATTAGTTGAATCCATAAACAATCACCCTTAAAGAGCCGTTAGATGATCCACATAAGAGTGAAATTTTGGAAATTTGGTCCCATAGAATATTATAAATGGTAAATTTGGTTCCAAGTTTTGGTTTTGTTGCAAGAATAATCCTATTTTCTTTAAATATTATGAAACAATTTAAGTTATATTCTTTTAATTATGTATATTTCACATTAAATTATTTGTAACTTTAAAAATTGCAAACAACATGATTTTTAAAATTATTAATTATCTTTTCTAATTTAGTAATAATGTTGTCAATATCTCGTAGTTATAGCAAGTCTATTATTGAAACATAGCAATAATAAAAAATCAATAACAAGGTGATAAAATACTACTTGTACTTTAATTTTTTTTTTTGGCATAAATAATTTCATATATTAAACTACAGATAATTTGAATAAAAATTGAATAATAATATAATTAAGATTATGAAAGTCGCTAGGACTTTTTGCTAGGCAACGAGCTGGTGCCTACCGCTTGTAGGCAGAGTATTTAAAATATTAATAAATTTATTCATATCGATTCCCATACATAATTTTCAAGTGACATTATATATAATATACTAATTAATATGATCAAATACAAAGATTGACTAAAATGTATTATATTCAGAGCTATTATATTAATTTTAATATAATTATTATTTTTAATTTAATAATTACTATGTACTTTAAGCATAAAATTTAAACCTATTATATTATAATTTAACAATACAATAGATTCCTAGGAGTCTCCTGGCCCGCCTTGGTGATGCTTATCAGTTGATCTTGGAAGAGCTTCTTAGGCAAAAATTATTGTACCTGGATGCCGTCTAGCGTCTAGCGCAATTTTTAAATACTGAATGAAATTGTAAATCTTCATATTATGGAAATGTGAAATAATATGTTTTTACAATGATATGGTATATAGAAATTGATAATATTTACTAATAAAAAATAATTGTTATTATTTTTCTACATATCTTAACATATATTATTTTAAAATTAAAAAAAAAATTATAATAATTAGTTTTATTGTTGTGTTTTACATTTAAAATTTAGTTTAGTAAAATGACTGTATTGCATGATGATTTACTGTAAGAATTAATACAACATACACACGTGAAATAATATTGCTAGATGATATGATGTAAAGAAAATAATAAGAAGTTAAATGTTGTAAGAAAATGCAAGACTCAAAAATCAAAATACCGTTATAATTATAAAGTTGGTTGGTAGTTCAACTACCACTAATAATTTTATTAAAATAATGAATATGAATAACTACTTTGTCTTTGATGTAATTGTATTGTTACGATTGTGCCATCAGAAGTTTTCCTATAAATGGGAGTTTCAGTTATAATGAAAAATCAATCAAGTGAATACATTTTCTCCATTTTCCCTTTCTCTCTCTAGCTTTATAACATTTTCTCTATTTTTTCTTTATCTCTAGTTTTATAACACGTTATCAGCACGAGTCTCTAACCCCTAGAGCTTGATTTGCAATACTACGAGAGTATGCTCTACAGTCGCGTCTTGTAGACGATCTTCTGTATCAGAAATCATAATATTACAAATCGTTATTTTGCTGAAATATTCTCCAAGGTGTTTTCTTCTCTTTCTTCAACTATAATCACATATTTTTCATAATTCTTGAAATTTTAAAATGTCTGATATCACCACCAATAGAGAATTTGCTGAGCTCGCTCTTGATGGAAATAGTTATTTAACTTGGGCTCTTGATGTTGAAATTCATCTGACTTCATTTGATTTAAGTGCCACGATAGATTCTACATCTGAAAGCACTCCCGCACAGAAAGCGAAGGCACTGATTTTTCTTCGTCATCATCTCAATAAAGATCTAAAAAATGAATATCTCACTGAAAATGACTACAAATCTTTGGAGATCCTTGAAGGATCGTTTTGACCAACAAATGGCCACAATCCTTCCTCAAGCACAATATGACTGGCTTAATCTCCGCTTTCAGGATTTTAAATCCATTATAGAATATAATTCAGCCCTCCATCGTATTGTATTATAGCTTAAACTCTCTAGGCAGAACATTACTGAGTTTGATTTGCTGGAAAAAACTTTATCTACTTTTCATGCTAATAGCCTTGTACTCCAGCAGCAGCACAGAGCTAAAAATTGTGGAACACATTCTGAGCTAATTTCTGCTCTACTAGTGGCCGAAAAACACAATCAATTGTTAAAAAAAAATCATAGCACTAGGCCAGTTGGTACTTAAGCTGTGCCTGAAGCACATGCTAACACTCATAGTATAATAATAATCGATGAAGAGGTCGAGGATATCATACTCAGCCACCACGTGGTGGTGGTGGTGGTGGTCGTGGTCGTGGTCGTGGTCGTAGCCAAGGACGCGGTCGAGGTCATAATCTTGTCTGGACTAGAGATGGAGGACGAGACAATGGTGTCGAGGAACCGAAAGGCCGTAGGGAAAATAATAACATAGATGCTCCACAAAACAATCAAGATAAGCAAATCGGCTATAGGTGTGGATGCAATGGTCATTGGTCCCGAGTATGTCGTACTCCTCGACACCTAGTCGAAGCTTATCAAAGAAAGCTAAAAGATAAGAAAGGAAAGGCTGCTCAAGGTGAAGCACTCTACGCTAGTTTGCCTGAAGCAAATTTAGCAATAAATGATGATGATGATGATTTATTGAAGCTTGAGCTAGAAGAATATGGTGATAATGTGTGATATATTATATTCTAGTATTGGACATTTTGTTTTGTGTTTGATTTTATGCTATTATGGTTTGTGTTTATAAGTATTTGTTATGCTTTGAATGAAACTTTATGATTGTAATGTTTGTAATAAAATTGTGGTTTGTCTTTATAAGTAAGTTTTCATACGTTATGTTTTGAATAAAAATTTATGATTGTAATGTTTGATTATAATATCTTTATTTTTTTAGTGTGCTATAAACATTTAATAGTTTGCAAGTCATGGAGAAAGAGAACATTTTATGCCTGGTCGACAGTGCTACTACACACACTATTTTGAAGGATAGAAAATTTTTTCAAACTTTAAATGAAAAGAAAGGGAGTGTTACTACAATTTCTAGTGATAAAATATTGATAGTAGGCTCTGGTAGAGTTCTACTTACTCGGATACCGAATTAATAATTAATGATGCGCTTTTATACCATGAATCACAAAGAACACTCCTTAGTTTTAAAGATATTCTAGCAAATGGTTTTCATCTTGAAACTAAGACTGAAAACAAAATAGAATATCTTCTTATGACTCATACACAAGGAAGTCAAAAGAAAATTGTAGAAGAACTTCCCTCTTTCTCCTCCGGATTATATTATACTTACAGTCAACCTTCTATTAATCATGTTTCAATGAGCTTAAAATTTAAAGACCCAAATTCATTTAAATAATGGCATGAGCGATTGGGTCATCCAGGGCTTAGTATGATGCGTCGGATTATTTCTAACTCTATTGGGCATAACGTATCAAGCATCAGTTTCCCTTCTTTTAATGAATTTTTTTGTGATGCTTG